TGAAATTAAATGACGTTGCGAGGCTCAAACGGTTCAAAAAAAGTGTTTCACAAACTTTCGAAAAGCCGCGAAAATTCTATGCCAAAATTAAAATTAAAAAAGTGCAAAAATGTTTCTTCCACAATTAGTGATCAGCATAGGTTCATCCAATTAATAGTGGTCCCGCAAATTGTTCTGAAAAAATTTTTCGACAAATCTTACTGTAAAGTGTTTTTACTCAAGTTGGAGTTTCGATTCGGGACCAAGTGCATCTTGTGCAGAATTTTTCGCTGATTCCGATGCCGTTTTCCAAATTTGCTGCGGACTTTTATTTTGAAAGTTATACAGCAGTTATGGTAGTTTTTCGCCAAAATCAAGGAACCGTTGTAGTTTTCGATTTTTCTGATCAATTTCAACTTCAAAATTGGCTAGAGATTGGCTAGACAAGCATCTTAAAAGTCAAAACAATCTTTTTTATAAAAAATTAAATTTTTTTTATGCAAAAAGCAAAAGAAAGGTGCAGAGCGGGGATCCGAACCGCCGCCCTGCGCTTGGCATGCGAGTACTTTGCCAATGCACCATGCTGCCAACCGGGAGGGGAGCTGTGACAGAATACTTCAGGGCCCCTGGGAGAGGCAGAACCATGGAGGGAATAGTGGGCCAGCATCCAAATTTTTGGCTTTTTCAAGCCTAATTTGCACCAAAAATGACTTTTTAAATAAAAGTCCGCAGCAAATTTGGAAAACGGATTCGGTATCAGCAAATAATTCTGCACAAGATGCACTTGGTCCCGAATCGAAACTCCAACTTGAGTAAAAACACTTTACAGTTAGTCAAGCAAACCGGGGAGCCTATTAATTAATGAATGACCGCTTGAAAATAATCTTCTCAAACTCGGATTTGTGGAACCTTGTTTTTAAACAATTTAAACCTTTTTATTTTTATTATCAGGTCGTACTGTACTTCCCAGAGTCTCGAAATTTCCGTGGATTTCACCCATTTGTCACCAGGGACGTAGCGTAAGGTGGGCCCCCTGGGCCCGGGCCCCCCGAAATCGGCCGGGGCCCGAAAATTTCATAAGGGGGGACCCTTATGATTTTTATTTTCTCAAAGATTTTGCTGCCTGCGGCGCTATTTTTTCACGTTTTTACTGCTATTTGTAGGGTTATATAGCCTTTTTTCCAAAATTTGGAAATTTTTTTCTGGCTACGCCGCTGTTTGTCACTCCCATCACCGAACTGACATTTCGCACGTTTGTATCCAAGGCATTCGGGGGGTAAGGGCATTGTCGTCACGGGACCCAACCCCCAAAAAGACCATAAATTTACTGGGTTTTATGTGTACCTGACATTTGGAAGTACTGTGTGAAATTTGGGGCCAAAAATGCTAATAAATTTGAAAAAATCATAAAATGCTTTAAAATAGAAAGAAAGGGTATCCATGGTATTAACCAAGGTAATTTGATTTAATTTAGTAATCTATAATTAGCTCTATAATTTATAATATCAGGTTGGTAGATAAGTCCTGTCACAATTTTTTGAAGGCGCCCTAGAAAGCCGCAGAAACGTCGGATTTTCACTTTCGATACATGATTTGATAGATCTTGGGACGCGCTACTTGGGCAAAACCCGATTTGGTCCCCAAAGTGGCTCTCCGTCGAGTTACAGCTCCGGGAAGTTTTTCATAAAATCTTGAGAAAGCTATTTAGCGTGCTATCTTTGCATAGAGCCATTTGAATACGATACCATTTACGCCAATCGATAGCTCTCGAGGAGTAGATATCGATAGATGTTGAGATCATCAAAATTGGACACCGGATGACGGAGATACGGGCCCTTCAAATTTGGTCCATTGCTTAGAACTTTTTCCGAATTCCCATACATTTAGACAAAACCGTCTCCGCGCGCTCAAAAACAAACTGGTAAGCTTTGTTACAGATGCGTAAAATGTATGGGATTGCGGGAAAAGTTCTAAGAAATCAACCAAATTTCAAGGACCCGTATCTCGGCCATCCGGTGTCCAATTTTGACGATCTCATCATCTATCGATATCTACTCCTCGAGAGCTATCGATTGGTGTTGAAGGTATCGCATGCAAATTTCTCTATGCAGAGATAGCACGCTAAAAAGCTTTTTCAAGATTTTATGAAAAACTTCCCGGTGCTGTAACTCCGCGTCCTGTAACTTTTCGGCCTTGTGCGGCAGCTCCCATTATAGAGCAGCCCAAGACCTATCAAATCAGGTGTCAAACGTTAAAATCGGCCATGTCTGCGGCTATATAGAGAGATTTAAAAAATTTGTGACAGACTTATCTACCAACCTGATATAAGTAGTGTAATTTAATTAGCTTAATGCCTTTTATATTCAGGCTTAATGAGGTCATTTAATAGCTCTCATTAATGCATTTAATATTAATTAAATATTTTGTAGTGTAATTATCCGATTTCCGTACTGGGGTTTTTATTTATTTTTTTATAGAGTTTATTTGTATTCATGCCTTCAATATCAATTAGATTAATGTATTTCTCTGATTTCCGCACCGGGTTTTTTTTAATAGGTTCCAAACATTTTTAGGTCACACCAAGGTCAGTTGGAACACATTTTTTTGTGCAATACTATCGATAGCAAAAAGGTTAACAAGATTCTGCCTTGCTAGTTTCTCGTAGAAATAAGAAGTTTTACAGCTGTCACCCTGGAGTTTCCTGTAAATTTCTTAATTGGATTTAGAAAAAGAAAGTTTCATAAAAATCATGAGTGACCTGATCGGGCGTGGCTTTAATCGGCAACCTATTTGCTTTTTTTACCTGGAATTTTCGCGCTAAAACGGCAGAGAAAAATTGCAATATTTAGTACTGCGTAGTACTGGCTCACCAAATAAACTTCATATTAAAATTCATCCAATTGATCGTCATTGCAAAAAAATGAGTTTCATAAAAAATGTGTCTGACCGAGTCGGTTGCAGATTTAATTTTCAATTGGAAGGTGTAACGAATAAAATCGAAACTTTTAATAGGAAAATCTAAAAATTACTATCCCCTAAATGCCTGGGAAACCTACAATATTTGCCGCTTAAGAATGCATTTAATTCAAAGCTCTACTGGGTGTCCCAAAAAAAGTACCCCCCTCTAGCGGTCCGGGGGAAACTCAGATCGGGGTAATTTTTATACCATTCGAAAGTTCTCGGAAAGGCGAGAAAACAAGCGGGATTTATTTTATGAAATTTATTTTTATACGCTGGGTATTCAACGTTTTTCTAAAAAAACAGGTAGATTTTCAATAGGAATTTCGCGATTAGCATGCAGATCTCGCGTAAATCTGCCGTTTTCATGGTTTTTGGACGTAAAGTTTGCTAATAAAAATGGATAATAAAGAAAATGAACCTTCCTTGTTTTCTCGCCTTTTCGAGAACTTTCGATAGATACCTAAACGATAAAAATGGGACACGACTACGCGCCGCTAGAGGGGGGTGCTTTTTTGGGACACCCTGTATGTGGGAAAAACCTATGAGCGAACGATTTCGAATGTAGGTAAAGATAGCCAAGGAAATAGGGCCAAGGGAAAAAAAATTAAGTTTCACAAAAAAATTAACGGATGTTGCCCGGGGCGTCGTGGATTCACTTAGGGCCAGGAAAAGCGTTAGTAAAATCTACGTAAATCTTTTTCTGTATTTAGCTATGATAATTATTTAGTCATAATTGAAAGAGAAGTTTCATAGAAAAGCCTGACTGACCCGGTCTGGCACCCCGCTTTGATAGACAGCTTTTCTTTTCCCGGATTTTTTTCAAAACGACCGAGATAAGTCGAAGAATCTTACTGTAGTTCACAACATTTCCGACCGGCAAAACTATCTGAATTTCAAATGTAAAATACATAAAATTGTAACCCGGCGCTACCGTCGGCTTTTTATCACTGCAGAAATTGAATTTCGAAAAAAGAAGTTTCTTAAGGGCGGATGGTTGGCCTGATCGGGCACGGCCTTAATCCTCTTAACTCTCTTTTCCTGGAATTTTTTGAAAAACGCCCGTGATAAATTGAAAATGTTTACCGTAGTATACATCTGCGACTGGCAAATCGATTAAAATGTCCCAATTTAAAATTCCTCAAATTTTAAGCCGACGCTAAAGGATGAGTTTCGTAAAAAATGTAGGTGACCGAGCCGGCTGCGGACTTAATGGAGCTACCGACGACCGGTGTCAAATAACTTCTATAGTAGAAATTTTCCAGAATTAGCGCGTTTTTAATCGCTTGAATGTTTGTTTTAGGATTCTCTTTCGAAGGCTCGACTATGTAAACAAACCATAAAAGAATTATTGCAAAAGATTCTCGTTCAAATACAAAGTTATTCGAAATTTTTTAACTTGGTTATTAGTCTACATGCTTAATTTTGTCCTGCAAAATTCTAAAGATTTTATTTGTTTCTTTCTTTGAAATTTATTTGATTGTTTCGGGATATCTTGAAAAGCGTCGCTTTTTGCCACTTCAGAAATCGATTTTAGAAAAAGAAGTTTCAGAAAAAGCATGCCTGACTTGGTCAGGTACGGTTTTAATGCGAACAACTTTATTTTCTGGACTTTTTGAAAACGGTCAAGATAAATTAAAAAATCTTACCGTAATATACAGCTCTCAATGGTCAAACAATCAAAACACATAATTTAACATTCACCAAATTTAAAGCCGGCGCAAAAAAATGAGTTTCGTAAAAAATGTGGATGACGGGGTCTGTTAATGATTTAATGCGGAACGCTAACTTTCTATAGTAAAATTTTTTAGCAAAGGGACTATCCTCCAAATCTATACGATTTTTTACTCATGAATTCCTTTACAAAGATCGACTATCTAGACAAACTATACACGAACGATTTAAAAAAGGATTTAACGGAAAGCCAGAAGATAGAAAAAATGGAAAAGGTTTCATAAAAATAAGTTGTGCGGCTGGCTCGGTGCATTTTAATTTCTCTGCGCTTTGAATGGTAAATAATTTGAGAAAAAAACCTAATACACTGTAAATATTGTATTTTGTAGTGCGACGAACGGATGCATCTGCGGCCTCTTCATCATTGCCGTGGAGTTCAATCTTTTCCACGTCTCGTCGGCATACCCGAAATTCGCTGGTCACTTCGCTGCGCGACTCGCTGAGGGAGTACGTTTTCTTTAATCAAATTAAAAATCGAACATTAAATCGTATTCTAAAAATCCCCGACCGTTTATTATTCTCTATTAGGTGAGATTACTCCAAAATAAAAATGAAACATTGAATTTCAGGTCAATATTGCCAACAATTAACTGTAAAATCGTAAGCAAATTTATTAATTTAAGAAAACTACGAAAATCTATTAATACATATTAATACGATCAAGAACATTTATTAAAAATTAAACGGATGAAAAACAGAAGTCAAAATAACAGAAGCATACATCGACATACATTAAAGCCGAAAAATCTGTTGAATAGTGGCACATGCCTGAAACAAATATTTTCAAAAACCCCAAAAATCGTTAAAATCAGATTTCCGATTTAATTCAGATCTTTAACTGAATAAAGTTTTTGAAATTGTTTTCCTTCTGCGTCACTGCGATCCTCAATAACCTCTGCTAGCTTGCCCCGGATTTGGTAGACTTCCGGGTTTTGCCATTTTAACATCAGAATTTGAAAATTCAAAGTTTTCACCAAGAAGCATTGGATGATTATTTTAAAGAGAGTTTGATGTAGACATTTTCCAAATAAAACACCTTTTTTTGCGGGTAATGTCTCGGTTCCATTCGTAGGGATCTTAACCTTAAATTTTCCGCCTTTTGGTTTAAGGCGTCCCCCAATGACCACTGCTAGCCTGCCCCGGATTTGGCAGGCTTCCGGGCTTTGCCAGTTTTGATCACAGAATCAGAAAAATGGAATGCATTAATGATTGGATAATTCTATTCCGTGACAGTGATTATATTAAATAAAGCTGGCGGCAGATATCTTTAAGGTAAAACACATTTTTTTACCGCTATTGCCCGGTTTCTGAATTTTTCAACGATAGAAGTTTACCCAACCGTCCGAAATATCGAAATTCAAAATTCGCCTCAAAGAATTCCTGCAAGCCTGCCCTAAGTGTTAATTAATTCACCGAGTTTCCGTGTTACAACTTTTCCAAAATGTCTCCAAAATGGCATCGATCCGGTTCTCCGGGTTTTCGCCATGAAAAATTCCGGGTGGAGGAGGGTGGAGGCTTTAGAAGGACTGGAATTCATTGCCGATCTCGAAAAAATCGCGTGCTTGATTTTGGGAGTGAGTGAGAGCGAGAGAGAGACAAAGAGAGAGAGATAGAGAGAGAGAGAGAAGCAGAGAAATGCCATCCTCCCTCCCAAAAAGATTTTCTGTGAAATATTCACACGACGGGCTGATCCCCTCACCACAAACTTTCTCTGGGGGCCGCAACACGGATTTATCTCGCGTCATTTGGAGTGGGGTGGAAAGATCGTATAGTGGGGGGCAAACTGACAGAGATTTTTGGGGAAATGCCGGAAAATGAGGAAAGGCAGATAGGAAAGGAAAGCTAGACAATTTCAGTAGAATTTCAGGCAGATTGTACAATATTGGATTCCCGGAAAGCGCCTAAACCAATTAAGAGGGTTTTTTAGAATAATGCATTATTACGCCGAATCTCGGAAATCGCTGATAAAATATCTGTTCGTCTTAAGAGAGTCTTTTTAAAGAGTTCAAAATTAAAAAAGAACGTGGGGCGGTGCTCGTTAGGGATCGTTAAGAAAATAAAATACTTTTTCAGAAAATGCGTTTCACCCCACAGAATAGGGCCGCTTGTCAAAGCTGGAAAACAATTCGGGTTTCAGATTCGGTAAAAAATAGAAGTTTTCGTTGTTGCTTGGCAGAATTAATCAGCTTGGCTGTAGGTCGAAAAAAAAAAAGGCTCTCTCTCTCTCTCTCTCTCTCTCTCTCTCTTTCTCTCTATCTCTCGTTCTCTCTACCTTATACCGTTTTTAAAATTCAAATATTTCATCCCAACCAACCCTCCGATCCCCCTGGCATCCCTCCAATGTTCTTGCTATTTCGTTGCCCTCCCCCTAATTATCATCTCCCCTCCAAAACCTGTCATCCACCCACCCAACCAATAGTCCCAATTTCTGAATTTCTGACGTGCTTTCTGATGAAGCAGCTTCATCCCGCCCCTCTCTTCTAATTGATGTCATACATCAACCCCAATTTTTCGCGAGGTTTTTAATCGAAATCCACCCACCAAATGACTGCCACAAGGGAGTCGAGGATTTTTGGATGATTCGGAAAATTGGGAGGGATTTTTGGGGCTTTAACTAAATTTATATTATTAAATCATTTTTTACCATAGAAAATCTGATAAATAACTTTTTGGGGGTGGAAAAACATGTTTCAAGCCAGGACACTATTAAGAGCAACCCGACTGCTTTAATTCTTCTGCCTTTTCCGCGTAAAAATTAAAAACGTGGCCGGAATTTTTGAAATCTTCAAGGTTAGGAGGAACATTAGGGAATCTTACTTATATTTTGGAGGAATAATTACTTTTTAAAAGCTTTGAAAATTATCAAAAAGATTTCTAGTCACAGAACAATGTGTTTCAAGCCTGGACAAACTTAAAAATACACTGACGGATATAACCCTGCCATGCGTCGGAGTTTAAAAAAATTGTCAAACCGAGGCCGTGTTTCCGAAAATCCTCAAAACTTGAACGGATGCTAGTGGGTTATATTGGGTTCTAGATAAATAATTATTTTCTAGAAATATTTGTCACTCCAAAATCGTTGTTTTTTAGCTAAAAAAAATGTGTTTTAGCTTCGGAACATATTAAGAAACGATGAAAGACGCTAATTCGTCGAAATCTGGATTGGCGATTGAGATTTGAGCGGAATTTGTATTTTAAATTTTTGACCGGTTAGAAACCTTAGAAATAGATAAATAGATGATTAACATTTAATACAGAGAAATCTGTTTCAACCCAAATTAATGCCATAATTGGACTTGCTAGCTTAATTTTCCAAAAATTGTGGGCGACATTCGACAAGAAAATGAGGCAAAGGATCTTTTAAAATTCCCCAAAAAGTATGAATTCAATTACGGATGTTCACTGAATTTTTGTAATTCTAATTATTTGTTTAGAAACGGTTTTTAAGTTCAAAACGGATTTGCTCGGTCCAGGAAAATGTGTTTCGACCCCGCAACAATATCATTTCTTGATGAAACAGCCTAATGTGGCTTCGGAAACTTCGTGAAATTTTAGTGCCCATTATCAAGCTGGGTTGAGTTTTGGTTTAAAATTTGTTACTTTTAAAATTAACTTCGAAGAAGTGCTTTTTTGAGACGCGAGAAATATGTTTCAAAACGGATAACTGTTAGGATTTGTCGGAATTATCTAATTTGGTTGCTTGTTGCACTAAAAAAATCACCGCGACAATCCGAAAGAACTCGAAAAGTTAAAAATCAAGAAGCTAAAAGTCTCTATTTTAATCACGTCATGTGACGAAAAGTTTTTCCTAGTTGGAGTTTGCAAAGCAAAAAATTGTTCGATATTTCTTTGTATATTTTTATAACACCAGGTTTAAAATTTAAAAATAAATTGAAATGTGTATTTAAGATTAGAAAATCAAATTCATTTTGACGGTATTTACAGCTATTTTAATTCGGAAACACGAGCCGCCGAAAAAAGACTGAAAAATCACGTCGAACGTTTTTGCAACTTTTTGGAAAATGTGTTTCGAAGTCGCAAAAAGACAGGAGCAGCCGAATATCCGTTACTAATCCGCTTTCTATGGGGCACTAGTATCATATTTATCCAAAGCTTTTACTTAAAATACTACTGGATCTAAAAGGAATAAAAACCTAAAAACCTAAAAAAAACCAAAAAACAAACAAAATAAACGAAACCAATCCTTGTAAAGGGCATCAGAATTTTCCAAAGAAATGTTTTAAGGATAGAAAAAGTCTGGGCTGAGGCTTACCTTCCAATAAAACGACGTAAACGCTCGACAAATCCTAAACTTTCTAATCAGCTGGAAAGTCGATCTAAATCGTCATTTCCAGCCAGGAAAAGCCGCGTCCACTGCGTTTCGGATGAGGCCAGCAGCCATCTACTACCTACGTCTACGTTCAATGCCAATAACGTCCATCGCTTGACTCAACGAATAAATGAGACATTTGTTTTTATATGGGCAAATACATGGTATGGAAAGAGAGATAGAGAGAGAGAGAGAGAGAGAGAGAGACAGACAGACAGACAGACAGACAGACAGACAGACAGACAGACAGAGGGAGACAAAAAGAGTGAAAGAGTGAGAGAGAGCGTGAGTGGGAGAGAGGGAGAGAGCGAGAGAGAGCGAGAGAGAGAGAGCGTTAGAGAGGAGAGAGAGCGAGAGAGCGTGAATGAGAGAGAAAGCGAGAGAGCAGGCGAGAGAGCTTGAGTGAGAGAGAGCGTGACTGGGAGAGAGAGCGAGAGAGTAAGCGAGAGAGCGTGCGTCAGAGAGAGATAGATTTAATGAACTATATAACTTTTTATGATTAGTTTTAACTTATAAAAATTGGCAAAAAAACCACAAAAAAAATCCGGAGCGGACTGATTGCAAAAAGAATGTTCCAACGAGATTGGCCGCAGAAGAGAAATCAGTTTTCCTCAGGCACAAAAACTTAAATTCGTAATTTGCATCCAAAATTAGCATGAACTTCCGGTTCCTGTGATTTGGTTGGGAAATAATTCGGAAACATTCTCATTCTCAACAAATCGACAGCTCCCATCCGGCTGCTCCCTTTCCCGGATTGTAAGGTAAGATTTTTCATTGGGGACTCTTGGCTTGTTGAAACATTTATTTTTGTAAAAGTTTAAGTTTTTTGTTTTTGACATATGTTATCCTTTTCTCGTTTTCTTTTCCTTCTCTTTCTCGCGCGCCATTTCTTTGAGTTTCATCTGTCATTTTAGAAGCGTTTGCCTTGCTTTTTAGGGGGTGAGGGTGAACTTTTTGTTGTTATTTTTGTATAGCATTTACATGGGGGTAAAACTAGCGGGAAAAAGGAATTGTGGCTAAACTCTAGTTTACCCCCCCCCCCAGCCGTAACTTTTCAGCCATACGTCCTATTAATGCGCCGAGTATCTCAAAATGTTCCCCGTGGTCGAATTACTATAAAAAAGTTGTTTTCTTGCATCCAAAATTGTTAGAAAAATTTTTATAACAATTATAAGTCTGGGTTTTCTTTAGTTAATTTTTACTGTTCCAAAGTGAGTTTTCGTATCTCGGCTATCTTTTGACGTACAGAGCTGTCAATAGTACCAAAATGTAGCTCTTGCTCTGTAGAATAAGCCTACAGTACGTTTGAGTCGAAAAAATAGCGGAAAATAAAAATATTTGAGTTTTAATCTCCTGGTACATTGAAGCACAGCGGCTTAATATTTTCAACTTTGAAAATCTTGTAAAAAAATTCTAGCAATTTTTGCCGCAAGAAAACAACTGTTTTATAGCAATTCGACCACGGCGAACATTTTGAGATACTCTGCGTATGAATAGGACGTATGGCTCAAAAGTTAGGGCTGGGGGAGGGTAAACCAGAGTCTTACC